CTTAACGACAGCATTGATTTGCCGGTCAAATTTAAGCTCAGAGTCAAAAATGACACCAAGGTTCCTCACACTAGACAGCTTTTTCCCAGGAAACAACCCCAGGCAATCATCATCCACACACCCCTTATTTCCAAATAAAATCATCTCGGTCTTATCCTCATTTAATTGGAGAAAGTTATTCGCAAGCCAACACTTAACTTCGGCCAAACATGCATGGAAAGACTGAATGGCACATTTATGCCCATGTTTCAATGGTAAATAAATTTGAGAATCATCCGCATACAGATGATACTGAATCCCAAATTTTCTCAAAATCGAGCCTAGAGGGAGCATATAAAGGGAAAATAAAATAGGTCCCAGTATAGATCCCTGTGGAACCCCACACACAAGAGGGGCAACAGAAGAAAAATATTCCCCTAAACTGACTGAAAAAGGTCCTATCCTTCAAATATGAAGAGAACCATTTCAGGGCTAAGCCCTGAATACCAACCTGATTCCTAAGACGATTAATGAGAATGTTATGATCCACTGTATCGAAAGCCGCTGTAAGATCTAACAAAAGCAAAACAACACGGTTTCCAGAATCAACACCTCGTAGGATATCATTAGAGACCCTCAAAAGAGCAGATTCTGTACTATGACCAGCTCTAAAACCTGACTGGAATCTATCGGCAATATTATTCCTCATTAAGTAGTCATTTAGCTGTGCATGCACAATTTTTTCCAGTATCTTTGAAATAAAAGGTAATTTCGAAATTGGACGAAAACTACTCATGTCAAAGGAGTCTAGGCCATTTCTTTTTAAAAGGGGCTGAATAACCGCATGCTTAAAACTAACCGGAACAACACAGATGACAAACTAGTATTCATAATAGAAAGAATGGTCGGGCCAATTGAATCAAGTACCTTCTTAAACAGAGAAGAAGGGAGCACGTCACCAGGAGACCTGGTGGGCTTCATATGAGCAGTTATATCATTTATCTGCTGTAAAGAAACAGGCATAAAACTAGTAAATTGGTTCGTAGGGTCAACATGAGCGATAAAATCATTGGCAACAGATGAAATCTGAGATCTAATTCCTTCAACCTTACCAATAAAAAAGTTTAAGAACTCTTCACATAACTTAGCAGAAGGAGTAAATGAAGGAGTTGCAGTAGGATGAAGAACAGCATTTACAGTTGAAAAAAAGTACTCTAGAATTATTACCGTTTCTGGAGATGATGTCAGAAAAATAATTTGATCTAGCCAATTTAACAGCTCTTTGATACTCATTCAAGCGGTTTCTTCAAAATTTCATAAGAAACTTGCAATTTATCTTTAACCCATTTGCGTTCAGCCTCCTACACTCCTGCCTAAGAGCACGGGTAGTACTATTCAACCAGGGCTGAGATTTGACTTTTTTTCCCCCTGACTTTGACCGGAGCCACAACATCTAAAATCTCTAAACAAGAAGAGTTAAACTGATCAACCAACTCTTCTACACCTATGCAGGGAGAGTGTGACTCAATCAATGAAAAAAAAGAAGAGACATTAAAAGCAGCTGAAAAACTACTAGCTGTGCAATGGATTGAGTATGCGAGATGAAACTGAGGCAGAAGCAATATTACATGGCGCACCACAAGGAAAGCTAGTGTTTACAATAACAGTCTTATGGTCAGAAAAAACAGTATCGACAATTTTCACACTATCAACAAAGAATCCCTTTGATAATACAAGGTCAAGGGTATGACCACGTTCATGAGTTGGACCCAAAACATGTTGCAAAAAATCAAACGACTCTAATAAATGTAAAAATTCTTTGACCAGGGGCTTTGAAGGGCAGCACACATGTATATTAAAGTCCCCCAAAATCAAAATATTGTCAAAAGAAGGCACAATCCCAGATAAAAGTTCAGAGAACTCCTGTATAAAACCCCCATGAAAGTTAGGGGGTCTGTAAATCAGTACACATAACACAGATTTAAAAGAATTCAGCGTAATTCAGCGTAATTATGTATTCTAATGACATTGTTTATTGTAAGACGAAAGCAGAGATGCAATGAGCACCAGATCTATCATTATGCATAAATTGGAGTTCTGAAGAAAGACACTGTATGATTGGGTTCTCTGAGCTGAAGTTTTTATCATATTGTCTGATCTGGACTGTCTTTAAGACAAAACAGGAGTCTGTCTGTAGTCACAGGCTGTTGGACCCTCTACCTGCACCCACCTAATCCAGTTCAGTATGCTACACAGAATCCGATGTCAAGCTTATCACCAAGCTAATTGTGCGGGGTAAATGTGCTCAAGGCAATCATGTAATATACTAAAATACTCTAGAGAATCTGAACAAATACTTAGAGAATCTAGACCAGTTGTTCTCAACGTTTGGGCCAGTAGCCCCTACCCATTATAAGTCCCCCACCACCCATAAATTTAAAATACAGTCTATGTGTATTTCTTGAATATTAATGTTAATTATTATAATTAGGCATAATATTAAATTTCCACTACAATTCAAATGTTTGGTCAGTACAAATGTTGTTGGGATTTTTTTTTTTTTCATTCACCAAGGATACATTAACTTGATTCAACAATAAATGTAATGCATCTATTTGCAAGTTTTTGAGCATATTATTGTTGGTGTTTTTAGTTTTTTAGAGTTTACAGAGGGTTTTCAATTTGTTCTTCATTTGGGTGAATTTTTTAATGTCTTTCAGTGAATATTAATATTAAATATAATAATATTATATTTAATAATCTCTCTCTCTCTCTCTCTCTCTCTCTCTCTTGGGATGTAAACCATCATTTTCTTTATTTCTTCATAAATTACAAATACTGAAAAACAAAAAAAAACAAAATTTATATATATATATATATATATATATATTCAACATTCAATAAACTGAACCATTTTCAAAGAAGAAACAATTTCTTGAGCACCGAACCATCATATTAGAATATTTTTTGAAGGAACATGTGACACTGTAGACTGTAGTAAAGATGCTGAAAAATCAGTGTTGTCCATCACATGAATAAATTACATTTAAAAATATATTCAAATAGAGAACTTTTATTTTAAATTGTAGTGATATTTCACAATATTACAGTTTTTTTTCAAATAAATGCAGTAAAAAAATAAAATAAAAAAATACTACCCCTCTGGCGGCCCCCTTTTTCAAAATGAATCAAAAGTACCTCTCTCAACAATTATCAACAATTATATTGTGGCCAATAAAACAAATATATTTTTTACTATAATTAATATGACAACATGTACAAAACAGTAACAAATCGCTCAAAAGTCTGAAAAATTCTTGTTTACTTTACGAATCTGCCATCAGACAGTCTGAGACACCATTGCCATAATGCATCAGTAGTTGCATATTCATAACTGTTACCGCACAGTCTGTTTACAAAAGCGATTGAGACCTGCAGACCATATATGGCTCTCTCAGTGATTACTACTGTTGATTCATTTAAAAATAAAGCAAATATTATCGATCTGACTGTACTGACACTGTTGTGTGTGAACTGAACTGAGCTGGACGATGACTTCATCAGAACTGCTTTATAGATAAAATGAACTCATTTAATAATTGATGATCTTTACAATGGATCTGAATCAACACTGAACTGACTGAGCTGAACAACAGCCGGAATACATCCTTTTTCCTGTTTATCACTGTAAAGCTGTTTTGAAACAATCTTTATATAAATAAAGGTGACCTGACTTAAAAAACATTACATATTTAAAAAATATTACACAATTAATCAATGCCCGGTTGTCTCATATTATACATCCACCAATCGTGATATGGCATAATAATCTCAAATTTCATTGGACAATCAAACTAAAACTCAAAACTAAATATGCACTGTCTGTTTTCAGTTTTTATTATTAATTAATTATTTTTTATTATTTATTAACAAATGTGAAATATGTAAAAGAAAAAAAAAGATGAGTATTGTTCTTTACAATCCGAATGAACCCAAACTATTTGCATTTGTGGAGATCTCGATCTGGATCTGCGGTTTGTCTCATTTTACAATTAACCCACTGTGGACCAAGGTGTATTTGGGGTCCTTGAGATGTTCTGACATGCCCTGACATTTGTGCTTTTTAAAGTTGCTTATAAACATATTAATAGCACAGGTGAAATGACACTATATTTAGCACAAACAGGGCTACCATAATATGTGAGCAACATGTATTTTTGAGAGAATATTGTTTATGCGTGGTTATTGAAAAAACTAAAAAATACAAGTTTCTGAAATAAGGCAACAAAACCAACCCGATCTCACGACCAAGTCGTACGAATTCGACAAATGATTAAAAAAAGTGGCTAATTCGTAACAATTCATACGACCTCACACGTACGAATTAATACGATTTTGCTAAATCGTACATATATTACGAATTGGCCAATTCGTATGAATTTGTACGAATGACCTACCCCTGACCCCGCCCCTAAACCTAACCATCACGTGGGTTTAGACAAATCGTAGGAATTAGTACGAGTGAGGTCGTACGAATTAGTACGAATTAGACACTTTTTAATCATGCGTCAAATTCGTACGAATTGGTCGTGAGATAGTGTTGAACAAAACACACACGAAATATGCATCCACATTACTTTGACTAATGGATGTTGTTGCCTAGACTTTTTTTTTCTTCACAATGATCTCAAAATCAGACCTGCCTAATCTTTCACATAAAAATGTGAATTGGGTTATATTGTGAAAAACATTTTTTTGTTTGCCAAGGCAATATGCGAATGGGCATGAACAGGCCAGCCCATCATTGGATGTGAAATGACTGCACTAGTAGTTTCAATTTACACTTATTTATGCACAACATAATAATTTAGCTTGATGAAACTATTATACAGTAGTTGGATAAAATGCCATCAAGCAAGATACCCCATTCTATTTCTGACGCAGTTCCTCCTGTTGTTCTTTAAACGCCCCCATTGAGAAATGCTAATCTAAATTAAATGACAATGACAGAGATCACTTACAGCTTCCGAACTTCAGTGGGCAGGCATGGGCGTCCATCGGAAAATCTTCCAGATGCATGGGGCACTCAGCATGGATGGTTAATCTATGTAGAGAGGAACAGACACATAGAAAGAGCTTTAAAGTCAGCATTAAACAGCATTTGCAAATTATTTTACTTTTCTAATGTGATGTATTTCAGAGTGAAACAAGAACTAATGTATGGCATGACTTGTCTTGATCCATCTGGAATTGACTATCATGGAAAGTGAGTGTTTCAGACTAGAAATAGGATGTTAATGTTTAAATTGTTTGTTTTTTTTAAATCATCCCGCCTTATAGTCACCCGAGTTGGGCGTTTACATGTTCGTATAGTTTACATTTTGCGATGATACAAGCAATCAAGAAGTTAAGATATCTCTATTGTATCGCTGAGGTGAGTATTCTCTCATAAAGTTGGACATACTTATATATCCACCTTTAAATAAAGATCTGGTCAAAAATGTTATATAGTGAAACAGCAAAGACTTCCACATTTGAGGAGGCCTTTTGACTGGAATGTGGAGAATGAAGGTTTGCTATTAAATATTTAGCAACAATAAAATGCAGTTCATTTGCATATGTGCAAAATTTTCAAGATCCTGTGATTTTTTAAAATGCCTTTTATTTTGAAATTCATGTGTTCATGTTCATCTGTAGTTCTGTCTTTGGTCATTGTAGTTCTTTTGCTCTTTGTAATTAGCTCCAGGTGTTTCAGTAATCTATTTAACCTTGTGTTAATCCTTGCTTTTTGGTGGATTAATGTTTGTTCGCTTTCTCCTAAATTGAGAGTGTCATGTATCTATTCTTGGCTAAGGCCATGTCTAAGTTTAATCTCATAGTTATCATCGTCAAGTCATGAAATACTGTATGTATCATGTTTGAGCCAATAAACCATCTTTTTTTCCTGTATTTAGATCCAGTAATCTTCCTTTTGTTTCTGAGGCTTTGTTTTTATGGTCGAACGTATTTATGGTAAGCTAGATTTGTTCCAGAAACATTTTTGTTATGCTGATTGAAAGTCTCTTTAAGTTGAGTGGTCTAAATGTATTAATATGTATATGTCTCGTCTGTGGAAGGTGCTATTAAATGTTTGTGCAATATGATGTCCTACCTGCCTGTCAGCGTATGTATTTCCATTTCTCCGTGAGTAATCGTGTAAACAGAACTAATTATATTTTATTTGGACTTTAAAACAAAGATTAGCCAATAAAATGCTCAATTATATATATCCTATTTCATTCTCAGATAGTAATTCACAACATCTTGAGATAGAAGCCAGGGAAGAAAAATAGAACAGAACATGTAAAATAGAAATAGAATAGAACAGAAAAATGAATAAGTGATAAGAGATTCTTTAAACTGTAATGAAGTATTCGAATATACAGAGGAGAGTAATCTAGTGGATGAAATCTTTTGTGTGTGTACACTGCATGGAAATTAGCTGAGTCACAAACTGACAGCTTGTATGGAGACGGGTAAATTGACCTATAAATAGATCCCTGAAGCTTTTAATTAGCGAGTATCAAGGCCTGATCCATTGAGGTGAATCAAAGTCATTTCTCAGACAGTTTAATGACTGCGAGGTGCTTCTTGTTCTCATCTGTGGAAAACTAAAGGTGGTTCTGTAATTCATTCTGTTCCCCCCCTCCACAGATTGATGTAACAGCGTCTGAGTTCGCTTCGTTCCTCCTTGACTCTCTCCAAGGCCATGGCTGTGAAACCAGAGGCACAATTTATACACAACTCTCAGAAGGATGTGACATATTTTTCCTCAAGAGGACCGTGAGAAGAGTATGTGTTTGTGCAAAGCTGCATGAGTCTGTGAGAAGTGTTCTAAGCTTTAAACATGGCAGCCCATGAGTGTGCAAGGGTTTGAGGAAATCTCAGACTTAGGGCTGGGCGATATATCGAATATGTACGATGTATCGTTATATTTTTTGAAACGTTTATATCGATACAGTAGTTTGATATGAGCACATCTGAAAAATAGCGGAGTTTGCAGTGTGAGCTGCTGCAGTGAAAGTAGCTAGGCTACGTAGTACAATTTGTCCTAAACATGACACAAGCTTATATTAATTGCGTCAAAATCACTTTGATATAGTTAACAAGTTTAAGGCAGCTTGCCGCCCTGTCAAATGCTCTGACAGACACTGTTGCTGACTGACACTTGCGCTGTTTAATGCGTTTGAGATGTGGTGCTTTCCTCAGTGCTCAACTTACATTTCACATATTCTCCATCTGTAAATGTTAGAAAGTAAAGCAAATATGTCCATTTCACAACAAATATGTCCATGTCAGAACAGAAGAGGACGAGCTTCTGCAAGTGAATCTCCGCTAAAATTCATGCTTCCTTGAACGAGCGCCGGCGCGCGCATGCGCGTGAATAGTACTACGTAGTACGCAATAATTCTGACTAAAATAAACATATTGCTAAAATATTTGTTGTTGGAGAAAATAAATGTGCCATATGTGGAATTTTAAACCTACAAGTATATATTTTTAATGAAAGTGAAAGTGATTATAATGGGGTAATCAAATGCAGGCTAATATAATTAGTTTGTGCTTTTGTTTTTGTTTTTATTTTCATTTTTAGTTTAGCTTTTAGTCAATATAAAAACAAAAGCTTTTTGCACATAATATATTGCATAGCCTATATTATATTTGTTTCCTTATCCTTCAATATCAACATTGTTTGTAGGATATCATTGGGCCGAATGTGAATACTGTATATATATATATATATATACTGTATATATATATATATATATATATATATATATATATATATATATTTTAATATAAAGATTTTCTTTATCTAAATAGAAAACGTAGAAAGTACCGAGATATATATCGTATATCGCCATTTGACCAAAAAATATCGAGATATGATTTTTTGGCCATATCGCCCAGCCCTAACTTACTATTTGTTTTTTATTTTGCCTCTATACCTCCTCATACCTCTAGCGTATGTGTCATTAGAGTGTGACAGGAAGCCAGCATTACAGCTCTAGTTCAGTGTGCACATGTGTGCCTATGGTCACGTAGACAGCTGGCCTGTCAGTGCGCATGCACGCCGCTGCGGCTGCTTTACTAGCCATTTGTCAGTTTCACGGTCAGTGACCGTCATGGCTCTCTTGGGTAGGCAGGTCCCCCTGGGCTTTCCCCCCAGCTTTGCGCTAGGTCTCAGGCTCTCCGAGCTTCTGCGCCTCTCATCTCCTCAATAACATATTGACCCAACGGTCCTCGGCACATTACTGTTCCCGAGACAGCCCTGACAAGGCCGATGGCAGGGATTTGCTTTCAAAAGTCTCTACCCTGGGCATTCAGACATATAATCCAGATTCATAATACTATTTGGTTCACCTGCTTCAATTGAAAACATTTACCCTTCATAAAAATTTCAAACGGCGCATGGAACTGTACTTTATATTGTTTGATTATGTTTTCCAAGGGCAGTTTTACCTTTGCAAGATTTTTTTTTTTTAAATGTATGCATCATCTTTTAAATGAAAAAAAATAATAAAATAAAATAAATAAATAACAATAAATACTGTTAGAATTCACATTCACAACTGGGTTTCACCTTTTTTTTTCTTTGTTAAATTCAAAAACTGTGTACGAGGTTTGAGGTCATTTTTTCAAAATGCCTTCTTGTCATTCCTTCCCTTGATAATTATTATATTATTTATATACACTCTAAAAAATGCTGGGTTGTTTTAACCCAATTTTGGGTCAAATATGGACAAACCCAAAATGCTGGGTTAAAATGTAATGTAAAAATTTAACCCAACGGCTGGGTTAGTCCATATTTGACCCAAAGTTGGGTTAAAACAACCCAGCATTTTTTAGAGTGTATAAACATTACAAATAGGTTACAGCTGAGACTGACATAATTATGAATTATTATGAATCGTCAAGTAGCCAGCACTAGTCAATAAGTAAAATTATGCAGATACTTTACATGTAGGCTATTGATTTTCAAGTAAGAAATTGTTAAATTTTTATTACAAACACTTACACTGATAACTACTAATAATAATTCAAGTGTGAACACAAGTGAAAATGACAAAATATACAATGTAGTAGGCCCTTTAAAGGGATATTTCACTTTTTTTTTTTTTTTTGGAAATTGGCTCATTTTACAACTCCTCCAGAGTTAAACTGTTGAGTTTTACCTTTTTTGAATCCATTCAGCCGATCTCCGGTTCTGGCGGTACCACTTTTAACGTAGCTTAGGATACATCATTGAAATGCACAAGACCATTAGCATTTCTCCCAAAATAATTACCAAAGTGTTTCGATATTTTTCCTATTTAAAACTTGACTCTTCTATAGTTGCATCGTGCACTAAGACTGACGGAAAATGTAAAGTTGCGATTTTCTAGGCTGATATGCAGGGAACTATACTCTCATTCCTGCGTAATAATCAAGAAAATACTGCCGTACCATGAGTCAGAGCCGGCTTCAGACCGCTTTTAGCAGGGGGGCATTTATTTTCAATGGGTGGGCACTAGGTAGGTATGGGGACTTTTTTTTCCGATATTCGATATCCTATATTTATTATTGCTACTGCCTTTTCTGTTAGCTATTAACATGAAGTAATGCAACCCACACAATAAACACATAAAAAACATTACACATTGTTGCAAGACGAGCGACTCTTAAGAAATTTGATCAAGGGTTAAATAGGCCTATAGCTACAAAAAAGAATTGCAAGACCGACTCTGACCACAGCTTTATAATAGCAAAGCTAACGAACATGTACACAGTCTCTCACTGACAGAATAGCCGTTTATATGCTATCTCAATGGCGGAAGTGAGAAAAAAAAAGCTAAGTTACTCATCTTTATTCTGCTATGTTCTAACATAAGCATTTACATTCATAGCCTTAAAAAAGCATCATGTAGTTACCTTTATCAAATAAAACCTTTAACACCTTTAACAAATAAAAAACACCCACAACATACACAGATATTATTCTACAATTTCCATTTACAAGAAAATATAGGCTTAAACACCTGTTTCTCCACGGCGGGAGTGAGTGACATTTCAGGACAATGGGCAGCGCAAAAACTAGGCCAACTAAACTATTAGTTTCATCACGTGACAACACATAGTGAACATTACAGTACATGCCAGTTAGATAAATAGCTACACTTACGACTCGGACTCGACTGTCTTTGGTCTCGGTCTCGACTACAACACTGGACGGTAGAAGCACCAAATACCAAAGCCGGGCTGTCGTTGTCTTGCTGTATGGGGTAATCGATGTGTAAGGAGAAACTGTACTGAACCATTTTCTAATTTCCATTTTTGGAGAGTTTTCATCTGTTTGCTTTGTTTTGAATGCAGGAAGCTCACGCGGTCGCGCCAACTGAAAATCATTTCATTCAAGTATTAACGTGCGTGATTGGGGGGCGGCAGGGGGGTTTCCTCACAGCGTCACACTGGTTTTTATGTTGGCTTTATTGTATTTTCAGCTAATGAGCCGTTTGTAGACATATATTTGTACTATTTCTCACTGAAATGTGAATTAAATTAAACTGATATTATTTTGTAAATTATATCATAATTCAATTTGGGGGGGCACAAAATACATTTGGGGGGGCATTGCCCCCTAATGCCCCCCCATAGCGCCGGCACTGCCATGAGTGCAGCAGGCGCGATGACTACACAAACTTAGTCCCGGTCACGTTGGGAACAGGGCACTATTTTCAAGCGCTGCGTCATAACATTACGCCTGCTGCACTCATGGTACGACAGTGAAGTTTCCTGATTATTACGCAGGAATGAGAGTATAGTTCTTAGTCATACCAGCCTAGAAAATCGCAACTTTACATTTTCCGTCGGTCTTAGTGCCCGATGTAACTATAGAAGAGTCAAGTTTTAAATAGGAAAAATATTGAAACACTTTGGGAGAAAAACATTTTTTTTGGGAGAAATGCTAATGGTCTAGTGCACTTCAATGATGTATGCTAAGCCAAGGGCGTAGATTACGGGGGGGACGCGGGGGACGTGTCCCCCCCACATTTTATAAAATGTAAATTTGTCCCCCGCACTTTTTCATATGGGAAGTGTTCACGACATGTTGAGGTTTTCGCGAGCCAATATGTATTTATAGATACAGATTTAAAATT